AGTTAGGCTGGGATGGGATGGCTATCCGAACGGCTAATAGTTTTCAAAGTTAGCATACATTTGGTCACAACTTTCAAACTAAACGCTACAAAAGTTTCTCATTTGGTGCACATAATTGTCTTAATTTGACATTAATTACACTTAATTTACAAATAATTTGTATTAATTCTCTATAAATCTATATATTTTTCAAATGATTTACTGAAAAATAGCAGTGAGATTATACCAATGTAATTGCCTATTTGTAGTAAAATTAGTTTTACAAACTTTTTCCACAATGCTATAATCACATTTAATATCCAGTAATATGTAAAAGGTAAACTAATTGATTAACTACAAGAATTAAATAATATTTCATTTCATTTCTACATTAAGGGTTATATTCATGAGTCTTACTGTGATTATTTAAGCTATTAATTAGTTTTCATAATAATAATGCGATTATAAAATATGGTAAACATAATTTTACCTGTTCAACTTAATATTATTAAATATTGAGATTTTTACTACCGGTAAATGTTATTTTATAGTTATTTTAGAACTCATTTGACTAAAACTTGAAAACAATATTGCCATTTTTGATATAATTGCATTCATATTAATTGCTTAGCATTGTATGAGCACAGAAATTGAAAGTTTTATCACAATTGTCATTTATAAGTTACTAATTATTACAATACTGATTACTGTACTATTTATGGCATTAAATTTTGTAAAAATAGTGAAATACTGTCTATTGATTAGGTGTCCCAACACTCGACAATCAAACAGTTTTAGCTGTTCAGCAGTTCTTCAATGATAACACCGTTTCAAACCTCGCAAATGCCGGTAAGATTTGCCACAATGTCTGGTTTTATTAGCAAATAATTACATGATTTAAATGTCGACATCAGATGTGGAGGAGGAGGAGGAAGAAGACGTGTTTCAATGCGGCAAATGTAAGAAACAGTTCTCAATATTGAATGCATTTGTGAGCCATAAGAAGGAGTGCGGACGCAAATCCACGCTTAACAGGAATATCAACCAATTGTTGCACTCGACTCACGACAACTTGAAGAACC